TAAAATCGGTTTATCGCTGTGTTTTGAGAATCTCCGAGAATTGATGGATTTTGTTGAAACGGTAATCTCACAATAAATCGACCATGGTTGGTTTTTTGTACATTGTTTATAAAATGCGATTCGCACAACTCTTCTTGCTGAGTTAAGTTTTTGTTTGTAGGTGATGCTTCATCGAGTTGTCAAAATTTCTCTATCACCTTTTCTATTTGTTCTTCATCGTCCGAGCAAATGCCGCATGTTTGCATCTGCACACCTAAATTGTTGTCAGTTATTTTTCCTATCACAATCCAGCCCAGTAACGTATTTTGCAATATTGGAAGATTATTGCCAATTTTAATCTGTCCGATCGACAGCAGTTCATGTGAAAATTCTGCCCCCAGTAAGAGATCAATATTACCCTTTTGGTGAAAGCAAGGATCAGCCAACTTAATATTGCTCGGTATGTCCCAATTTGAAATGTCGAGCTGCATGCTTGGTTGATCAGACACGATACTTGGTAACACGTACGCTTCCACTCTTGCGGCATATTCATTGATTTTGTAACTAAAACCCAAATTTACTCGCCTTTGAGCATTTTGTTTCCTTTGTCCAATACCTTCGATGCATGCGGATAAGTTCATTGGATTTTCTCCTAGTTTTTTGATGAGTCTTTCCGTTACAAGATTTACTTGTGAACCGGAGTCTAATAATAGCTGTGTTTCAGCAAACATGATCCGCTCAATGATCTGAATCATCTTTGCTGAAACGATACGGATCACGTTTGAAAATAATTGGCAACGCATGAAATACGACAGTTGGGTTTGTGTACAAAATTTTTTGATTTTTGTGAATAATTTTGGCGCTAAAAAAATAAGTGAGAAAATTTTGAATACAAAAAATCTAAAAAATGGAAAATAAATAAAATCTGTTGAAATGTCTAAAGTATGAAATGTAAGTTTTTATTTAGTATTTACTTAAAAACTTCAATTTAATTCTATAGTAAATAAATGGAAATTGCAGATTTTATTAGAATTATCGAGCAAAACTGACTCCTCTATTTTCTTTTTAAACACTAGTCCAAGTGTATTAAGCGCAAGGGATGAAGTGCATCAGCATGGATATAGTGGAAATTTTATGGAAACGATCAATAATTCTTCCGTTAAAGATTATTTGATTGGTATTTGCGCATAAAAAATACAATTGCTATATATTAATTATGTTTCATATATTAATAGATTTGTTAATAAAATCCAATCAGCAAATACAAAATAACCGTGGTGGTCACAATTGAACGAGAGCAATGAAGGAAATTTACATATTTTTGTGGTATATGACAAATATAAATACTTTTCGCGAATTTGATATTTGTTTTGGCATATCAAAAGCTTCTGTATGGAGAATAATTGAAAGAACTAGTGTTTAGCTTATATCAATTGCAAAATTTCCGTTCGTGATTGACAGCATACATGGTAAAATAAATGCACCTCACCATAGCAATTAGGCTTATTTCAAAAGAAAGCATGACTATGGCTTAAACTTGCAAGCAGTTTGCAATGGTTTTTTTTATAAACGTGTATGTTGAAGAGCTTGTTTCCTTTTAAATTAAATAAATGTATTCAACTTAATGTTTATATATTCATTTCAAATTAATTGATTTTAACAAATTATCAAACAACACTTTTTTAATAATAATAAAACGTAAATAATTAAAGTAATAATTTTAATTAATTTTAATAATTTTAATTTATAGTAATAGTAATAATTAAAGTATTACTTCAAACAAAGAAATAAATAATAATGACATATTAAATAAATAAGTACATAAAATAAATAATAAATAAATAAAATCAATAATAAATAAATATAAATGTAGATTTGTTTATAATTTTACTGCACCATTGCATCGCATTGCCAACCTCATTTGCATTAAAATACGTTCCACTTTTATCTTTTACATACATTCCACATTGAACCAGAAAGTGAACCAGATCAATTGCTGGTTCACCCCATTGTTTTTGTTTTGCATGTAAAATTGAGCGGATCATGTTTGCTGAAACACAGCTAATGCTCTACATTCAACCTTGATGCCTTTATTGCTTCGTATTATTACGCGTGCTGTTCCCAATACAACATAACCCTTGTTGTAATTGTTATAATTGGAGATCAGGCTTATTGACTTACTCGAATTTGTTATTTTATTTGGGTTAGTGCATGTTGCATCTTCCAGATGTAAAAGAGAATTGTGTTTTTTATTGCATATTTTACAATTGCCTGACGAGCATTCTCTTGCAAAATGGCCAAACTTTAAACAATTAATGCACAACCGCATTTGTTTAACTAACTGAAGTCTTTTAGTGGGAAGTTCTTGTATGAATGACTTGCACGTGTACAATGGGTGACGGTCATTCTTGCATGCTGGACATAGTTTTTCGTAATTTGATCCTTCGTTTGTTGCAGCAACTACTCTCGATGTGTTTAAGACCTTTACGTTGAATCCTCTGCCGAAAGCCTCCAGTGACTGAAATCGGCTTTCAATAAACCGTAGAAGTTCTTCAAACGACACGAGTGAACGATTATCCTTTAGAGATTGTTCAAATGCTGTTTGAGTTCCTCTATCTAATTTCTTTAAAGTGAGGTGCACCAATATTGCATCCCAATGTTCTATTAGAATACCCTGTGCCTTTAAGCCCAAAATGCACTCCTTAGTGACATCATGCAGCGATTTTAAACCTGATGAAGTTTCCGCAGTTAAAGACGATTGGCTTAACAACTTGTTGAGTAACGCTGTGATGAGTAGACGTTTATTGTCGTATCGAGATCTTAGAATTTGCCATGCTGTGGCATAATTTTCTGTTGAAGCTGGCAAATGTTTGATTAGATTTTTCGGTTCACCGATTAAATTGGTGGTTAAATAAAACATTTTTTGCATTGGTTTAAATGGTTGCTCGTCAATGAGCTGTAAAAACAAATCGCGAAATTGTACCCACATTAATGGGTTTCCGTCAAAACTTGGAAGCGTAATTTGTGGCAATTTTACTGATTGCAATGTTACTGTATTTTCTGAGATACCATCACTAGAATTTAACAATTTTAGCTTTGATTTTATTAACATCAATTTATTGTGTAGTTTTCTTTCTATTTCAAAAAACGCTTCCCAACTGTAGTCCTTTACCGTGTCTGCAGTGGTGGAGTTCCATATTATATCATTGTTTTGTTCTAACTTGCTAAGATAATTTTCCAGCTGTGCCTGACTTGTCCTGTAAACCACTTCTTGTTGTGGTTCTTCAAATGTTGATTCTATTTCCTTCATGGTCTTTTCAATGACGCGAATCAGCGCCCTTTGATTCCGTAACGGTTTTGTCACGGTTTTGTCTTCGGTCGACACAGGCTTGTTCCCTTCTTGTTTCTTATCTCCTTCAATGGTTGCCATTTTTTTACGTGAAAAATGAATACCTGTATGAAATTAACAGTTGGTACCAGATGAATTTTGACTGAATACTTTTGATCACGTATCTTAATGCAATAACGTTATGTGTACATGCACCAAGTTCTTAGCTGCCGTAGATTACGCACCAAGTGATGATCCTGTTAATGCTACAATCACGTCGGGGTCACCAAAATGATAAGAACGCGTTTGTTCTTAGTAAATTCCAAATGGTTATATTAAGTAAAATGTTAAGAACGCGTTTGTTCTTAGTAATTTCCAAGTGGTTATATCAAGCTTCCAACACGCACGTGCACGCGTTGGATGATATATTTTGTATTTTATTAATTGTAAAACTGCCGAGCACTTAAACTCGTAGTTTGCCTCAATAATCAAATTTGAAATAAAAAAAATAACTTCAAATATTTTATCTGTATTTTATGTGTCTTTATTTATTTTCAGGTATTTTGGAAATTTATTGTTAAATGTGCTATTATGAAATGTTGTTACTCGTATCACTGTTCAACCAAAAAGAGGAAGTCTTTTAGTTTAAACCCAACACAGAAGCTGCTCTCATGTCCCTAATCAAGCTTAAAGCTTACTTCATTCTCCTTTTGTTGCCAAACAGCTGATTAATAGTGTTTGACAACGTTAAGTAGATGAAGTCTTTTATGTAGATATGACAACCAAGATTTTACTTTAAGGAGATTTAACACTTATATTTAGTTGTACACGTGTCTTACTTTTTTGTGTTACTTTTAAATTTCGAATAACGGAATGAGTTGGGTGTTCAATTTAGCCACTAGATTTTTAGGTGTGCAATAAAATCCTTACAAATTTTATAATATACATTAATAGTATTTTATAGATTTAATTTTATAGATTCTTAGTTAAATTCTGTTAGGTTAGTTTATATGCGCAACATATATTGTACCAATAAATTTTGCCTATGTCATATTTTTCAATATGGGAGAGACAAAACTAAGGAAACATATGTCTTTTCTAGCCAATTTTGGTAGGTTTGGGATATGTCCACCCGCAAATATAAAATATTTTATTCAAGCTATTTGTTTCAGCAAGTTAATAAATAAGTTCTATAAAAATTCAAATTCACAACTATTTTTAATGATCTAAAGGAATTGTATAGGCATTTAAAAATTATTTAGGCCTTTTTCTTTTTATTGCATGTCACTAATAGAGAAGCAAATATCATAAAAACAAAACCTTTTAAACTTGATGCACATTATGACGCTTGCATATTTTGTCGCCACGTCAATGTGTTTTAGCCTTCAGTTATTACCTACGCCAATGACAAAAATATTGTCTGTGAATTTATAACAATAAAAACTAACCACACAAAGTGCATTTTATATTGCTCTGCTTGAAAAGGAAAATGGACCAATATTATAAAGATAAGCATTAAATTTGATTGTTTAGCAACTAAAACGCAAACCTTTTCTTGAAAATTATGTTCGAATTTCTTTCACTAAAAAATAAATAAGTGATCAGTAGCAAATTTGAATCATAAAGAATTATAAAAAAAATAATAAAATTATTCTAAATAATTTACTTAAATATATTGAAAACAAAATTTCAGAACTGGGAATTAATGAACACAGCAGTCCTAACAGGTCGACAAGTAGCACAAGCTATGAAAGTCTTTATCGTGTCTCAAGCTGGAAAAGTAGCTGATGTAACATTACAAAGTTCATGTTTTGCGGAAGATGAAAGTGTTATAAAGGTACATATGTGTGTTTTTAAATTAGTTTTAGTTAAACATTTTAATATTTTTAAGGTTTCTTCATCGTGCAGCTCTGTATATGTGGATGGTTCTGAGATTAGAGGTTCCTCAAATGCATCGGTTATTGTTAAATATGGCACATATATTGGTTTGGCGAAATTTATTGTTTGGATGCCAGAGTTTCCACTTGAAGTTTATGTAGAAGATATTAGACTTTCCCAAATAAAAGGTTGGAAAGTAATAGATGACAGTCATTATGCGTAAGTGTTTTTAAAGCATCTAAAAATAGTTATTTTGAAGCTTATTTTTAAAAAATCTTAAAATTTGAATCGTCACTTTTGTACTTATAGCATATTTGCCAAATAGCTCATACTCAATAATTTATTTTCTAAAAACTTAAGGAATAATAGTCAGAAATTTTTGTATATTATTTATAAAATGCTATTGTTTCTTTCTGTTATTGGTTGAATTTCTAAATTTTTATGTCTTATAAGAGTTGTTAAATTTGTAAAATACAATTTTCTTACAAAAATTGCTATCCACATAAAATCAATAAACAAAAAAAAACATTTCAGCAAAATGTTGTGTTTTCTTGATCAATAACAAGAAAAGAATAATAATAAGATTAATAACAACATTACTACAACACCAGCGAAATAACAGCGCTTATTACATTTCTTCGCTGTAAAAAAAGCGACGAAAAAGCAATCGGAACAAGCTAAGGAGTAGGTTAGGTTAGGTTCGGAAGGCGCGTGCTGCCAATTGTCAGCACTTCCACTCGGAGGCATATATTGCCCATTGTGATGCCCTCAAAAAGTTTTGCCGGGAGAGGCGAGTTGCTAACCTTTATAATCCTTTTTAAACCATTTGGTTTTCAAGATGAAGTTGAGGAGATCCGATAAGTTTACTTTCGTTATCTTATCCAAGCCAGTGAAAAAGCGATCTCCGAGACATTGAAGTCGCCTTCTCTGAAGTCCTGGACAGAGACAGAGAAAGTGGTTGATAGATTCTATTTCATCTTCATCTTGGCAACTCCTGCATAAACCACTTGTTGGAACTCGCCACCGTTGGAGCATAGGTGCAATGGCACAGTGCCCCGTTAGTACTCCAGTAAGCACACGAATTGCTGGTTTGCTGAAGCTTAAAAGGCTTTTCGTTTTATTTTTATCCAACCTCGGCCATAAGGTTCTGGCGACCTCACAGTCTTCGCGGTTAGTCCATAAGTTGTCTGTCACCGTTTTGGTGATTTCCTCTATTATCCTAAACAGCTCACACATTGGTGTGTGTATTGTGAGGTCGGCCTCTCTTGTATGCATTGCAGAATCTCTTCTAGCCATCTCATCTGCTAGTTCATTCCCTTCGATATTGCTATGCCCAGGAATCCAGCAAAGAGAGACCTTGTGATGTTTGATGCTCATCAGTGAGGCGCGACATTTTAATTCAATCTTGGATTTAACTGTTTTAGATTCAATTGCTTTCAAAGCGGCCTGACTATCTACAAAAATCGTGATATTCGATGGACGAATTGTACTTTGTTGTATAAGTTTAGCCGCTTTTTCAATAGCATATAGCTCAGCCTGAAAGACGCTGCAAGTATCAGGGAGTCGGTAGGACTGCCTTATCCTCATATCTTTTGAGAAGATGCCTGCTCCCGTACCGCCCTCCATCTTTGAGCCATCTGTGTAGATAGTAACTTCAGAGTTACCTGTCACACATCCAAGCTCCCAGCTATCTCTGGTTGGATAAAGAGTGGGAATTCTGGTATAGAAATCTAGTGTTGGTGTCATGTAGTCTGTAGTGGAGTCTAGATCTGCCTAGACTGATCCCTGACCCCTCCTAATCTCCTTTAAAATTGTACGGTGTCCGTAGTTAGCTGGTTTCCACATCTTAGACTCCCGAAGCCTAAGAGCATTTTTGGCAGCAAAGCCTTGAATGAACACCCACAGTGGTAAGAGATGTAGTATTACATTTAAACCGTCTTGAGGCGTACTATTGATTGCTCCGGCGATACCTAAGCAAGCCAATCTCTGTGTTTTTCCGATGCGGGCAAAATTGCATTTTTTCCAACGCCTGCCACCAGACCAGAGACCCATAGATCAGGCCCATGATAGGCCTGATGATCGTCATTCCGTATACTACGTACGATGACAATCCCCAACTCTTCCAAAAGGTCTTTTTGCAGACATAGTATGCAGCTAGTCTCCAATTTTGTTTGGAATCAAGGACGACGCCAAGATACTTGGCTTCCGAGGTCAGTCAGAGTCAGTGTAATGCCATCCAATCTGGGTAAGGTGAAAGTAGGTATTTTAGTTTTCCGTGTGAACAGGACAAGCTCTGTCTTAGTAGGATTCACCCCTAAGCCATTGCTTTATTGAAAGCTCCCTCGATGTCAAGGAATCCAGCCAGGGTGTACTCCTTTAGTTGGAGTGTTCTTTCAATAGTACCAACCGCTTCGTGGAGAGCACCCTAACCTCCTGCCAAGCTTTAGGTATATATCCATCCCTTAAGCATCTTGAACCATCACCCCTGCTGTTGGTATCACTGCTACCCCAGAGTTCGTGATGTCCATTTGCATCGCAACCAGCTACCAGAAACAATCCTCGTGATCCTGCATATGCAGACAGTGCTCGAAAGGCTGCTGGTGGTGGTTCTTCTTCATCGTACGGAAAGTATGCGGACGTTAGCAGCGGGCTAGGCCTGTGCCTTTGTTCACATACTACCGCTGTGAGATCTCCATGGCTGTAAGAAGTTAAGGGAAAAATATTAAGACTTTTCTTTGCAACTATACAGGTTCTAATCTTACCTTGTGTATGTGAAGTGTAGAGATGATACCCACTCAGTCCAAGTCCGGCGACTTTGCCTTTGACAAGCCATGGTTCTTGGACAATTGCCACGTCCACATCACGCTCCGCGAGGTACTTAATCAGGTCGAGCGAGGCTAGGGTGGAGTGGTGCAGATTAATTTGCACTACCTTCAGCCTTTCCTCTGCTGGTTTGAGGCCTGTCACCTGGCACCCGAACCTTAAGAGAACCTAGCCCGAATTTGATGGTTCCTTCCTTTTTTAAAATGGATAGAGACGCTTGATCCACAGCGATTAGTATGTCACTACCTGTTCCGCTTTTACAGACAGCCATATTCACTATCTGCCATTCAGATGTTTTCAGCGCCTTATTTTGTCGTTCGATGAGTTTCAATATGACGTCCTTCTCCGGAACCGGAGGTGGGACCCACAGGGATACAATCGGGCGTACAGGGAGCTGAGAGCGAGGAACTACTTCGAGTTAAGCTCCCTGCCAGAGTGTGCCAAGACTATCGATTGTTCGCGTAAAGAAATCCAAAGACTTCTTGTTGCCGCAACCAACAACCTTAACACCTTTCTGCCATCCAGAAGGAAGAGTCGCTCGCCCAGGTGCCCCTCTCGCTCGACATCTACCGCTGGTACTGGGGATCCGACTCCCTGCACCGTAACTTTAATATTCTCAGCTGACATTAGTCATGCAAAAACGCCTCCTCCCTGTAGGGTTTCTTTAAAAGTCTGCCATCCTACGCACAAAAAGACTCGAACTCGACTGCCCCTGACATGGAGGAAACAGTCGTCGTTGTGTGCCGCCCCTACTTTGGGGAGAAACAGACGCATACAGGCAGGTTTTAGTTGGTTGCTCATCAGCCGGTCATGGAAAGCCCTATCAGAAGTTAGCAACCTATTGTATGACTACCCCCGTTAATGAAGCCCGACGAATCACTGCAGCCATAAGCCCCCACACCACGACAAGGTACCTACCAAGTGGGTGTAGCTAAGCAGTAAGCTTGCGATTATATCACACTACTAGTGCTGCTCAGTTCAGGAAAGAGATTTACATTTCTTCAGGCAACACGATGATTTTGCGTTTCACATCTTGCAACTAAGTGTTGATTGAGGCAAAGTAAAAAATTTACATCTCTGCTTTTCAAACCTTTACAAGCGTAATAGAAATCTACAATGTTATGTATATTGAGCATCGCTCATAAAGATCCTGTAGCCAAGTACCACTTTGAAAGAGTCGAAGCTTGGTGTGGGATCTTCAGGTTTGTTAACAGACATTACCATTTCAGCCAAACTTAATTCAAACTTACATCATTTCTACATCACCATGTTTTTATTGCCCATAATTATATCAATGAGCTCGTCTCTTACTACAACGTATAATGAACCTATTTACAACTGCTAATAGCTGGGATAGCTCACGATCTTTCAGGAGTGTTACAAGAATATTTTTTTGTTTGTAACCCTAAATTCTCTTGTAATATACACTTGTCGTTATAAGTCTACAAGCAAAAAACTTTGGAAATTTTTTTCAAAAAACTCAATTTATTGGAAACATATTTTAGTGTTTTTAATAATATTCAATGCACAATGTTTTCGGGAAGTTTCTTTGCATGTGTTCACAAAACAGCCGAGATAACGGTGCTTTTATTGTCAAGGACAGTGAGCAAAAGTCAACAAGCACTAAGTATAAGTATAAGATGATGTTTTAGTGTAAATTCTTGATTTTTTATGCAATTTAATAACTAGTTGAGTAACCACAATGATTAAGAACTTCCACTAGACGGTTTTTCTTCGAAACTACAAGTTTACTGGTCTCCTAAGTTGTTATTTCGCCCCATTATTTTAGTATTATATCTTTCAAATGCTGTTTGTCGAAATTCAGTGTTTTTGAATTTTTTTTTTTCAAAAGTGCCCATAAATGTTTAATTGGATTTAAATCTGGTTACTGTGGCATATTTAGCAGTTTCGGGTCGTTATATAGCAACCAAAGACGCACAATTTCTGCTGAATGTTTGAGATCATTGTCCTGTTGAAATAAAATCCATCTGTTAGTCCCAATTTGTCAGCACTTATTCGCATATTACTCTTTAAAATGTTTAGATAAATATGTTTATCCATTGTTGTTGCCACAAACTCCCGATTACCCATACTATTAGCTGCCATACAACCCCAGAGCATCACTGCACCACCTCCGTGCTTTACAGTTGGGAATAGATTTTGTTTATTGTATGCTTGACCTCGATTACGCCATACTAATATATGTCCTTGTATGTCATAAACACAGAACTTGGATTCATCGGAGAAAAGCACATTGTTCCACAACTCCTCCGGCATATCTACATATTTATTCGTAAATGTGATGCGCTTCTTTATATGTAATTAAAGATATGTAACGCTTCCTTTGTGCTACTCTACTATGAAAACCGGCCCGTCTCAAAATTCTGCGTGCGGTA